ATATATATATATATATATATATATATATAAATAGATGGATGCACCCAACATTCCAGGACCTTTTCCCTTAGTGATATCTGCAGCATTTTCTGGTACTACATGGAGTGTAGATGCGGTAGCAAACGCAGTCACATTTAATGGAGTGGCAGTGTCGACTTTTACCTTCTCTCCAAACCAAGAAGTCCCTACAGTGATCGACGACCCCATAATAGTCACTTTCTTTTTACCGCCTACTAACCATGTGAATCCGATTGTAAATTTGTTTCAACCACCCATGTAAATATTATAATAGAAGTAGAAAAGAAACTATGATATGTAAATAGACACGTATTGTAAATATTTTCAATAATATATAATATATATGTAAAAGTAAGTAACTACGCACGTAGTGATAAATATTTATAGTATGTTATTATGTATAATATTATTACTATACATGTGTTTTCTATCTATAAATATTATATGTATACGTATATTATTGAGATCAACATCTATGCCCTCTAAGTGTTCACAAGTCCAAAGCTTGTTGAACGTCTTCGCGCCTTATAATAAACTTTCAAATGTTTGAAAAACATATGGTGATAAGTGCTCTGATATGTGGTATGTATTGCAAATGTTATTATGTTTTACTTCCTTATTTGTGTTTACATGGAGAATGGTATATTCGTCAGACCAACGCAACATCCAGAAAAGTAAAGTTAAGCTACAAATAGAATTGTCACTACCTAAAATAATGAGTTCAAACCTTGTCTTCTTTACACCTTCTTTTATCATGTTTATTCATTTGTAAAGACTTAAAGCTCTTAACAAGTATGAAGAACAATCATATTTGTTAAGATCTAACTTCACACTTCACATGGCCAAGTGATAAGGGCTCTCACCAATAGATATATATTTGAAGCCTATAAATACAAAAAGACTTGAAGATAAATAGTTATACAGTGTGAATATTGTAAAAAGTTGAAACTCTATAAAAAAATTTCAGTCTTGTAACCATTGTCCAATGGATGATCAATTAAGAAATGCTTAAGTTAGTAGCCCCTGCCTTAGCAAGTCATTTTTTCTGAGTGTACTAAACATATACATCTTTTTGTCTGAGAGATAACCAATACAAACCTTACGTTCACACCTTTGTAAACTTCAAGAGGGTAGTTAAAGGATATTATGTAATATTCCGAAACCTTGATACAATATTATGAATTTTCTTATCATTATATTATTCTTAAAATAATTTTAAATTTTTAGTTATCATATTTAAAATAAATAAATATAAATGTCTTATTTTGATACCTTATGATTTTTATAAATTAAAGTAGAAATATTTATTATTCAATTTTATTATAATCTTTTAGAATATTTTTTAAATATTTTTAGTTACTATATTAAATAGATATATAGTGATGTTTTATTACCTTATAAAATTTTATATTTTTAGTAGACTAAATATATATATATATATATGGATAATATTCAATTATATTATAAATATTTATAATATTTTTTATAATAACATAATTATTATAATTACATGTAAAATAAATTAGATATATTATAATTTATATAATACAATACACATATAAAATGGAATGGTTCAATGGTTTATGTTCTTGTGCATAAGAGCTATAAGTTCCAAGTCACTGGTTCAAGTCATGCCATGGCTCTATATATTTTTATATATATATATATATTACAGTAATTAAATAAATTTTATTTAGATCATTATCTACAAATACCTGCATAATTAACGTATAGGTAAAGGGTAGGAGAACTTTATCTTTTTAAAATTTTATATGTTTCTATGTTTATTTAATTATGTTATATTTTGTGTGAATTTATTTAGTGATGTGTCCTTGACCTCATTTATTTGCTTAATCTATGATGATCTTTACTCTTAATAATTAATGAGGAGTTTCTAATTTGTGTTGTTTAATTATTTTATGATATTTATCAATGTCATTTATTTAATTAATATTCCTTAATACATTTCATTTACGTAATTTAGTTCAAGAGTTTTTATGTTAGTAATAATTATAATATAGTTTTGTTAAAATATCTTTAACTTGTCTTGGTGTTATTTCTTCATGCATTTATAAAAAAAAATATTCTATGGCCATAAGAATAGAAATTTGAATTAATTTGTAGTTGGAGGTTTACCTTGAGGATTTAAATGAGTAAAAACTTAAGGTGAAATAACCTTTAGTTATTTGTTATTATAATGTTCATTTATCCTAACTAGTCACTATAAGTATAATTCAAATTTTTATATCAAGAAGAATTAATATATATTTATTAGTATTAAATATTTCTATGCATATTATGTAATTGTTGATATTTATTGGATAATTATTCTCACTCCTTGTGTTTCTTGTGTAAAATATGTAATTAATTTTAAAAATAAGTAAATATAGATGGACTTCCCAAAGATTCCGACCCCCTTTCCCTTTAGTGATATCCGCGGTATTGTTTGTCACTGCGTGGAGTGTTGATACTTTAGCCAACTCGGTCACCTTCAATGGAGTGGTAGTGTCAACATTCACATTCTCTCCAAATCAAGAAGTTTTTACTGTGATTGATGGCCCTATAGTCGTTTACCTTTTATTTACCTCCCGCAAACCATGTTAATCCTATTATAAATCTATATCAGTTTAATATGTAAATATTATAATATATATGTAAAATGTAAGTAGCTACGCACGTAGTGGTAAATATTTTTAGTTTAATATGTAATGGAGTTGTAAGCTAATCATATGTAAAGGAGTTTGAAAAATCTTTCTTTGTTATCACATATAATATTATGAATAATATAATTATGTTTTTAATTTATAAATATATATATATATATATATATATATATGTGTATATATATAGGCGTATAATATTGGGAGTAATATGTATACAACTAGACGTTACATATTGTAATGTGTAGTTGCATCAATAACTAAGAGTGACAAAGGGAATACTTGTCTTGTAAAGGTTTTACAAGTTAGTGGAACCCCTTCGAGTTTAAAAGTAATTAGACATAGCTCAGGTTGAGTGAAGTAATCTAAAAACAATGTTTTTTATTTATCCCTAATTCCCTCATGCTTATAGTTTTTTTTTGCAAAAGTTTCAAAATCCTACATACACACACATTCAACCTCCCTTGTATGTGTTTATTTCATCTTCAACATAATTCTACAATATTAAGCTTTAATTGAGATTTCTACCAATTATATTGGAATTTTAAGGATTAAGTTAACTTGTACATTTTTTGCACTTTCTGCTAGTATACACAAATCTAATATCGTTGGGCGCCATTATGGTTTCATTGGCCATGAGAATATTAGAAAGCATAAGTTACTATTTGTGACTTATGTGTGGGAGTTGGTTGGAACACGTTGGTCAAAAGAGCTCCAATGGCTCCCTCAAGTGCTCACATAAGGTGTGAGCTAGATTAAACCATGCGTGAGACCTTTAGAAAGCAACATGTGCTCTATATTGGTCTTGTGTAGGTGTCCCTCATTGGACACCACCTTGTTTGAGAGTAAGGATTTCTAATCAATTTTTTGTAGTGTTTGATGGTGTTGTACATAGGAATGTAATATGTGACACCTATGGTGGTATAACAGTGAATAAGTGATGAATTGTGAAACTAATGTTGATCTCTAATCTTTTTGTGTGATTTTGCTTCAGGTATTAATAAATTATAGATGGGTGACATTTGTAAAATTGAAAAAACTTGATAATGCTTAGCTTAAGGATACAATATTGGTGTTAGTAATGGTAAAGAAGTAAATGAATTAATGTTTGACAACTACTATAGTGATGAATGATCTTATAATGATTCTATTTTGAGGTATTTAATGTTGTTTGACTTAGGATCACAATTCATAATATTGACTCTGATACTATAATTATTAAGTGATGAGACGAGTGAGTTGTTTTACATTTTCTAGAGATTTTAAACCAACAAAATATGTTTTACATTTTCTAACAATTTTAAACCATAAAAAAATGCATTTTTTTTGTTTGATTAGCCTCACATTTTCTAATAGTTTTAAACTGTCAAAAAATGCACTTCATTTTTTGGTTTTTGCACCATTGTTCTAAGGCTTCATCTTAGACTAATATGATTTGCCAGAGAGATAAGTAAAGTTTAACCAAAGATTATTTCCACTAAGGATCTAACTTGGACACTACCGAACGATTCAACATCAGGTTCAACACATTAATCACTTGTACTTAACTCCTTGATTACTTTATTTTATATAAAACTATCACATTTTTATCATTTTAAACATACTTGTAGATATTTTGAAGAACACATTCTTATTATAAATTGACAAATAATAGTTTATATATTGTACATATTTATCAAATTATTATTTAAAATTGCCACTAATTATGTTAATCATTTAAAATTAATAGTAACTACATTATATTATTATTTAATCCATGTAACTCTTAAGTAACAACTTTACCTATCTAATTCTATGATCACTTATTTTAATAAATTTTACCTATAATTTTGATAATATTTGTGTTTTGTAAGTTTCTTATTCAAATATAATTACATAAAGATACATTGAATTAACAACTTTCAACATTATAAATAAAATGAAGACAACATCTAGCCATAGGTCTAGCATGACACATATTTCTCATTATTAAAACATTAACATCCATCAACTGTAAAACATATCCAACATATTAAGTAACTCAAAAAATCAAATTCATAATCAATGCTTAAAAGAAAAATATGTAAATTGTCACAAAATTAATCTTGCTTTAAATGTAAAAACAGAGGTTCAAATTCATGAGTTCATCATGTCTAACAAAAAAAAAATGTCAAACTCAACAAAGATTACTATCTAATAAAGTTCCTCTTTGTGGTGTTGGCACATCGTGTCCCCTTCCTTCATCCTATAAAATACATATATAAAAATGAAAATTAAATAAGTAATTTAAAATATATAAAAAAGGAATTAGATAAGTAGTTTTGAAAAAAAATTCTAAATGCAAAATTCATGGTTACATGAGACAAAACACTTAGTTAATGCAAGTGAAGCAAATTGAAAGAAATTTTTTTTAGTTAATCCAAGAGAGCAAGAGCCTACTTTAGTTTAAATTTATAAACAAATAAATTAATTAAAAAATGACACACATTAATTAATTAAACAAATGATATTTTATCTTTAAAAAAAAGGGAACAAAATATATTTATCATCACAATAAAAACTATGCAAAATAAATAAAAGTTAAAATTAATTTAAATTTTAGTTAGATCTAATTGTATGAGCTCTAGCACTAAAAGCTCTACCTCAAAGTTTTGAATCTAAACAAGCATGTATTTTGGTTAAATGTGATCAAATTAATTAAGTGCATAAAATATTTTGTTAATCAAACAAAAAATATTGTTAACTCCACTAATTTCATGTAGTTTTGTGCATCACTACATCACATACTATATTGTGCATCAATATGCTTAGTTTTTCGTAACATGATAATTGTGCATGTGGTCAACATATAATATCAAATTCTTAGAAGAAGCTAGAGTAACATCCCATGGCCTCAACATACTGTTGCAACAAATCTCGCGACGAGACAACAAAAATTGAAAATGAAATGAAGTCACCATCAATATTTATTTTTAAGGAAATATTAGGAAAAATCTTAGAAGAAAATAACCTTTGAAAACCAAATTTTTGAGTTCGGGAGTCAATTACGCATAGGAAATGTATTAGCATCCTATGACATCTATTAACGGTTACCTTCAATTAAATGTGCAAATTAATGTTACTTTACAAACTATTTGTTTCACTCTTAAAAAATAAAATTATTTAACTCTTATTTGTATATTAATTTATTATTAATAATAATATTATTATTTTTAGGAAAAATAAAAATTAATTTTTATTTTTTGAGTCGACAAGGGTAGATCCTTGCTCCTACATATCCTCAAGTGCAATGAGGAAATCGGACTTTCGTAGTTCTTTATCTAAAAAATATTTGTAAGTTAATATTTGTAGTTATTATTTTTTATTTTAAGTGTAATTTAGATAACCAAATAAGAAGGAGATCTAAAATGATTATCGCGTGTGGATTATCATATTGCTTAATATTTAATGAGACTTTTGTAACAATCAATTAGGAAGAAAATCCAAAATGATTATATATATATATATATATATTTGTAAGTTAATATTCTTTTTAGTTTTAGTTTATTTTTATTTTAAGTGTTATTTAGATAACCAAATAAAAAGGAGATTTAAAATGATTATCGCGTATGAACTATCATATTACTTAATATTTGATGAGATTTTTGTAATAATTAATTAGGAAGAAGATTCAAAATGATTATAAAATATATATA